ACTATAAAAATGTTAAAAATTCATGCCGAGCCAATTATCCTGACATCGTATAAACGTTCTATTTGCTGAAATAGAACTGTGAATTTTTCTGACAGGACTGGTTTTGCCTGAAGAAATATATTATTAATTAATTAATGCGGGTTCTAGCTACCTGAAAATGAAAAATATATGTTGAATAAAAAGAAACTCCATTTTAGAGATGGGCATTATAACGAATAATTTTCTCTAAGCCTCTCACTTCTGTATTTGTCTAATTATTAGGTTGTTACGTACCTTCCATAATTGGGGTTGTCTAAAGCATTGCAAGATCACGTGATAATATGCCAATTAAATTATAAAAATTTGAGAAATTTGACAATCCCGGCGAACAAAACCACGAAAAAAATACAAAAAAATACTAGCCTGAACTAGAGTTGTCAGTGAAACTAAATTGAGCTTTATTAAAATACTCTATATCAACTATACGAAAAATAATATCAATTTTGTGATCTAATTTCTTCTTTTCTGGCTCCTCTCTTGGTATATTTTTGCGCATAATTGAAGCAAGGGACATTTCTTCACAGCTGGAAATGGAAAAATAAAGAATTAGAATAGAATACTGGGACTAAAAGCTAAGAAATCATCATATTTACCGATGAACTTGGGTTTCAGGAAACAATCATCAATCAATGGTGCCAAGGTGGCAATTGATCCAACCTTCAGAATTTCTATTGAAAGTGGATTGCATTGAGCTTCAAAAAAAGATAAGGATAAAAGCAAATTTTTTTGAGTGTTCGAAAATAGATCTCATGTAAATATTTAATGCAGAAAGTGCAAAATGTTGTTTATTAAACCTACAATTTATCAGCAAATTGATGAGCCCAGCTTATTTCATAATGTTTGTTAAATGAATAGGTTTCCTCTGATGATATGAATGGGACTTGGAGTTTCTGATAGAGATCACTGCGAGTAACACTCTAAAAGGACAGAGATAAATAAATCAACCTGAAAAGAAAAGAGAATTACTTATAAAAGTCCTTGAATCCACATTCTTAATTAATTTGTCAATATATTTGGTTGCATAATTAATGATAGACTCCAAATGATAATCACAATCTTTCCATCAAGCATTTATTTGTACAGTAGTGTTAATTATATTCGAACAAATTTGTTCTCTAATAATAATAGGGGTTATTAGTTAAACAGCTAATTATATAATATTGGTACAAATTAAATTTAGTAGACATGCTTTTGATTTTGTTTGCAGTTTCTCTTCTCTTAATTGTATAAGTAAGTCTTGGTTCCTTGATATAGGGTGTTTTTGATGAGGTGGTGTACATAATCTATCATACCTAAGGTAACTTAACATTTCTACTAGACCCTGTACTGATTCATTGTAAACTTGATAATGATGAATTTTTCAAATGTAATCTTGAGCTTATAGATTCTTCAACTTTAGTATTGCTAATGAATAAAATATTAGAATAACTGTCCCCAAGTTTTTTTTGCCATTGGTAGTTTTAGCCTATTAACATAACAAGTAGGAGAGAAATTTGCATGAACAAGTTTTTAACACAGAATTGTATTCCATACACACCTTCCTAACTGAGTCATTATCCTGTAGATATAATAAAAAGCTATTAAAAAATGCTCACTATAAAATTCACAACAATATTTTTACTAAAAAAACTTTACTAACCTTTTTTGAAATTGTTTATTAACTGGATCAGCTGTAGAAACAGACCTAATTTATATATCAGTGCAAGATGAAAATTGTTTTTTTGGTTTCAACAGTAATCACTTTATTATGTCTGAATAGTTAAGTATATTACATAGTAGTACAGCAGCTAGTCTATATATATTTCTATATATATTCCGGGTTCCTCCCCCGCAGTGTTGCAGTTCCCAGACTTACTGTACCCCCATTTGTGCGTAAAACATCACAAGGCTGCTCAAAGGTGTCCATGTGTAATTGTCTATCCACTGATTTACCTTCCCTTCGGCCCTAACTTGCTAGGGGGTTCTCCTCTGGATCAACTGAAGGCCGTACTCACCTTTTTGCTAGGGCACTTGTCCCACTTATGTGCCTCACCCAGACTTCGGTAATTTTATGCCACAGCTTGACCTATGTACTCAGGGTCAGGGCTAACTATTGAACCCCTTGTATTATCTACTTCTTGCCCTTATTAAGGTTCACAACAATCCTGATACTTGCATTTGGTACCGTCTTCTTACCTAGATTCTTTATCGGTCCCTCCTTTACTTCTAGCCGGCAACTCGGAAGGGTTGGTCTGCCCAGGCTTTAGGTGCCTAAAGGATGCCCTCTCCTTGGTACATACCTTTGAAGCGTATGCCCATTTTCTCCAGTGCAACAGAACCCAGTGGTTTGGCTGGTGTGTCCTCCATAATTAGGATCTAGTTGTTCAGTTCTCCGATCTCAGGCCTGGTTCAATTTCAGCCCTCATGTAGTATCATTATAAATCATCGCTATTCCTTAGCTCGAGACTTCCCAAGTGAATTTTCAGTTATTTTGGTTTCTCAGCTTTATTGTGCCATTGCTCCCATTACTAGATGGTATAACTGAAGTTACAGATTTATCTAAGATCCAACCGATAATCATAACCATCAACCGTAATACAAGCCTAATTTTCAAAATTCATCGTCCGTGGGATTTGAACTTCAGACTTGCCACTTGGAGAGGGTGACGACTAGACCACTACACTAAGTCGCCACACCTCTAAGATAAAAATTGTTGATAAGTTCCTAAATCAATATTTTATTATTCATTTTTTTGGTAAAGCATGCATTTCATGTTTGTAACAACTCACTTGTTCAATAATAAAAAAAAAACTATTAGTGTTATTAATTAAATGATTATTATAAAAACTGCAGATGACTAACTAGACAACTACAACTAATTTTATACAACTAAAAGTTGTGGAAACTAAAAGTTTCAGATGACTAAAAGTCATGAACAACTAAAAGTTATAAATAGCTAAAAAGCTTGGATAACTAAAGTTTGGATAACTAAAGCTAAAAATTGTAGATGACTAGTGGCTTTGGATGACTAAAAGTCACAGATAGCTAAAAGCTTAGATAAAGAACTTAATTTAGATTATTTTTAAATCAAAAATTGGGTTAAAGAATTTAATTTAAA